AACGCCTGTGGAGCCAGAGTTGCAGAAAGTAGCGTGGAGGCATTCATGAACTGGGTCTTAGAGTCAGCATTTGGGGATTTCCAGAAAGGCTGGTCACTTGGAGGATTGGCCTCATTGGGTTGGTGAGAGGATGAAGAGATGTGTTGGCTTGAAGGCAAGCATACTGTGCCAGGATGGACATTTCGGCAAACATCTATCTGTTACCTTGATTGTCCCTTAAGTTGGAACTTACAGCACCTTTGATAGAAGACAGGTTCAACTCTATGGGCTCAGTGGCTGCATGGCCTTTAGAAAGCTGGTAAGATCTGGTTTCAAATCTTCCCATCTCTGAAGGACAGAAGAGTTTGAATCTCTTTGGTTAAGGCAAGGGAATGGGAAGAAGTTAATTCAGTCTGAAATGAAGCCAACGGTGGGTCTCCAAGGACACCTTCCCCAGCCAGGAGAACAAGTCCTTCTTTTCAAACTGCATCTGAACCCAGCCCAGCTTCAGGACATGTCAACAAAGGCTTTAATTAATACGTCTTTAAAGACTCGAGTAACAAAGATTTGAAATGTAGCCAGACAGTTTCTCATTTTGATTAACCTAGATGGAATTAAACGTAAGCAGAAGTCTATGATCACCTCTGGTGCCCGGAAGCCAATCCACAGCTATTAGACCTCCTTGAGAGACTGCAATATGCATCAACAGGCTGCCTCTGTCCTCTTTAAAGCACATTTTTTACCTTGGAATCCAAAGTCTTGCACAATTGCAGGAATCTGGTTATAATTCTAGTGTGCTAGACTTGTTGAATGTGCTTTGCTAGGGTTTCAAGAATGTTCAGTATTTATTTCATTCTTGTTTATCTCCATTTTTAACCTTCTATATTGTTTTTCTTTTTACACGTTTTTTGCCACCTTGAGTGCTTGCTTAAGACATCCATTTTTTAAAAAAGTTAGCATAAGATTTTTAGTTTCATGGGTATAAAAACATTGACTTCTTTAAGTTAGGGTAAAGATTTTGGTTTTGTGGTATGAAAATGTCCTGCCGTGATGCAAAATGGAGGCAGTTACATCTGGTGGATGCTTCTAGGAGCTGGCAGCTTTGTGTTCAGGGGCATCGGCAAGGTCAAAAAAGTCATGATGGCTGCCATGATTGACCTAATCCAGATCTTGCTCCTTCTTTACCTCCATCATGCATGTGACATGTGTGAAAAGGGGAGGAGGATTTTGATCACACAGTTGCTGCTGCCTTCTTGAATTTTTGGTTTCTAAAAATTCAAGATGGAAGAAGATGGGAAAAAAATGCCCTTGCACCCCTAAGTTACTCCAGTGCAGGGCTAAGCCTTGCCCACTAGTCCAGAAACATTCAACGTCTGGTCTAGTTTTGAGTTTGGAATAGCTCTAAACTGCCAGAAGTCTCAACATTGCCTGGTTCCCTGGATTTCCTCCACAATTCTGGCAAATGTTGTGGATCTACAAACCCCGAATCGTGAGTTCTTCCTTCACTGCTTCTCTTCTCCCCTTGCAGCATACAAATATCTGGATTGACTCTCCCAAGAATTACGAGAGAGAACGGGCAATTAAGAGCACCAGACACCTCCTGAAGTTTGTCTCTGAGCACTTAGATTTTGATGTAAGTGACACCGTGAGGGATGGCTTGCTCAGTTGGCCCCGAGGTGAATTTAGGGAATTCAGGGTGAATTAAATCTCCTTAGGAACTGTAAAGGAATGTAGAGATCACCTGGGTGTGGAGGAACGTAACGGAAGCTCACTCCATGGGGAAAATACTCAACATAACCCTGCTTTGATTGTATTTCACATAACACCAATTGCGGGCTTTCAGGATTCTGTTGTTATACCCCATATCAATAAAGTAGCCTTCCTTGTGGTGTCTGTTTCATGACCTGGCCTACCCGAAGGGCTGACGGGGGCCCAAATCCAAATAGCTGTGTCTACGACTCACTGAGCCCCCGAGCAGGCAACCACTTTTTGCCCTAGTCCTTTGCTCGAACCTAGCCAGCATGGTTTACCCAACAGCATGGTTAGCTAGTTTGGTGGGTCATGAGAAGTCAGGAACTAGTATTAATGGAGTGAGCCATGATTCATCAACCATAAATAAACAGTCATGCAAATACAGCACATGAGAATTCCTGGCTGGGATCTCCCAACCTTTTGTCTGGCAGAGGCCTCTGCTTTTCCTTCACTTTTAGCAAAATGTGCAAACCAAGAGCCCTTGGGCCAAGAGCCAGGAACATTTGCACACCAGGAAAAGGAAATCTGTCATCTGAATCCCCACCCCCTGAAATCAGCTTCTGGGATAATATTGAAAGAGGAGAGCTTTGTTCTGTGGGTGGGGTCCTGTGCAACTGCCCCCACGGCTTCCTTCCCAGGGCATCTGTGGGGAGGTGGTCAAACAGAGAAAAGAGTGATGAACCCCCTTGATCAGAGACCTGCCCATTTTTTGCGTGCATCAAAAAAAAGTGCAAAGGCTTCAGTCATGCAGCGGTGGCTGTCTTCTTGAATTTTGACACACACAACCCCAGGCAAACTCCTGGCTTTCCTCCCCCAGAATTCCCCTGCCTCTCCCACATCCCAAGAAAGCTGCAGAGAAGGTCTCAGGGGCTGTGGCAGCCATGCGTTCAGCGCCCTGTGGAAAGGGGCGGGAGAGGAAAACCTGCCAGCTTGGCAGACTGAAAGCTTCCTGAGCCCCCTTCCTCATGTTTCTCCTCTTTCTTTCCTCCTTTCATTAGACCACAGCTGAATTTTCCCTATTGGGGCAGCTGGTGGCTTTGCTGGCCCTTCACATTGCCGACAGTGTCAAGGAGATCGGCCAGATGTCCGCAGAGGCGACCTACCACCTCCATTACATCATCATGAGCAAAATGGGTGAGCAACATAGTGGCGGACGTCTGCAAGGGGACCAGAGTTGCCCACTGCCCAGAACAGCGCCACTCAGCAGCTCGGCTTGGTGGCGCGGCCTCTGGCTTGACCAAGACCCTGGTCATTGGAAGAGCTTCCTGGAATTTGCACGTTAAAGGGCTCCAGCTCAGGGTCAGGGGTCACACTAGGACCAGGTTCCCACACTCAGCGGGTCAGTTAGACCAAGCTCCTGCAGTCACCCAACATGCAAACCTGGTTATTGTTCATCTTGGCATGTCATTGGTGGCTTAGCGCACTCGGCACAGGAAGTTGATGGCTGTGTGTATGGTGGGAAGTGAGAAAATGGGTTAACCAAGTGACTGGCTGTGTTCAGACAAGGTTGGTGAAAGAGCTAAAGAGTGCTTAGTGTGATCTGTTAAGCTTGGTTAGTTCATGCTTAACCCATCCATGAAGGACCTACAACATGTTTGTACAACATGCAAATTTGGTCAGGGTTAAATCTGGTTCTTTTTTTTCTTTTTTTCATAATTCGTGTCTTATCCTTTTCGCTCTGTTTAAGGTCCAACCTATTATGTTAACCCAGAAATGGGGTTAATTTGGCAACTAAGTTAAGCAGCCAATATTACTTTTTTGTTCCTGATTAGTTAGTAATTTAACTAATGACTGCTCAGATGTGACTGATAATGCTCTGTTAAATGTGAATATATGCTAGACAATAGCTTCTCCTTTTAAATATGAATATATGCTAGTCAACAGCATTATTCTTCTTCTTCCAATTCTCCTCTTCTGACTGTATGGTTTTAGTATATCATGTTATTATTTTTTATTATTCCTTATTTCCTGATGCTATGCAAACACACTGAGAGTTTTTTTGCACCGAAGCCAAATTCCTTGTATGTCTCATACTTGTCCAATAAAGTAT